GTTGCTGTGAAGGTATTTTATAGATGTGATTAAAGTCCATAATCAGTCCACAATAACTAAGAGAGATTATCCTAGATAATCTGGGTGGGCCTGATTCAATCAGTTGAAAGGCCTTAAAAGCAGAACTGAAGCTTCTCTGACAAAGAAAAAAATCCCAACTGTGGACAGCAGCTTCAGGCTGTGCCTGTGATTTCCAGCCTGCCCTACCTGATGACCTGCCCTTTGTATTTCAGATTTGCCTAGCCAGCCCCACAATCATGCATGCCAATTCTTGCAATAAATCTGTTGATAAGTATCTTCCCCTAGTTCTGTTTCTCTGGTTAAACATTAAATGATACAGCCATGAAATTATTATTTTTTCTTTCTGCATTGCATCTGATTGACTGCACCTTGATATTTAAGGTTGAAATTGCTCCTAAAGGTTCTCTTTATTATGAATGAATTGAGCAGGCTTCATTATTTTCATGGTAGACGTGAAAATATTTTTAAATCAATACGTTCCTCTATTTTGCTATATCTTTCTTACTTTTTCGTTTCAGAAGGAACTATCAAATGTGGATTCAATGACAACCTTCTTTTGCAGATCAACTTCTTTTATAACTTAAAAAGAAGAAATATAATTAGCTATTGCATATGAGTGAAAAAGAGAAAATAAAACCCCATATCTAATTGGCAAAAACTTGAAACTCTTATACACAAATATATGATACTTCCTGTGGATTTTAGAAAGGCCTTAGATTTTTAGAAATGGAAGGGCAGTATGAAATCATTTCATCAAAACAGGAGCAGACACTGTCGTTGCTTTGCCAAGTGACAATCTAATTTTAAATGACTCAGAAGTACCATTTTTACAACTCTTCTAGACAGAATTTCTTAAAACTGTTTCTTACTAATGCTCTTTTGCCAAGTTTCTTTTCACACTTAGCTACTCCGAGAACTTCTAAAACTAGGATATAGTTACATACACACAGACTTTGAGGGCTAATTTGAAAATAAGAACCCAAAGGAAGAAGGATTTGAAACTAAACTCAGATTTTAATTTAACATAAAGTATTATTCCTGACAAATTTTTCTAAGATAAGATGAAGTAGTCCTTTCAAAAAAAACTCCACTTTCAGAAATGTTAAACATTTATTCATTTTCTTATTGGGAGCATTTCCGTATTTGTAATAAGAATATGCACAAGGAACCATACTTGTTGAGTTTTTAATATTAACCACCCAAAATTTAAAGTGTTTTTTTTTTTTTTTTCATACAGGTCAGGTACTATTGTAAAATAAATTAATTTTAATTACAAAGGACTAGTACCAATATATATCTAGTATGTATTACCATTTACCTGTAATAACAAACATGTGCTTTGATATTTTTATTATTAAAAAACTGAGTCTTCAATGAAGGCAGTTTAACAGGACTATGGCTGTGAAAATAAATCTGAATTAAGCAGTCCTTTAAACTTAAACTAAAAATCATGGTAGAATAAAATTTCAAGCAAGTGAAAATTTTTCTGTGATATATACATAAATATTTTCATGTAAACAAAAGCAAGGATCCAGAAAAAATTAAATATCTTTGTCAGCAACTGAAATACATACATTACAAGGATTATTTTCTTCATGCTTCCATTGAACATGACTGGCATAAGCAGAGCAGTGGGAATTAGAGGAATCTTTACATTGCCCTCATACTCTTCAGGAAGCTCCAGACAATAAAGATCTCTCTCTAGGAGAAGACAGAGAGGAATTAGACTCCTGAAAGTCACGACTTTCAAATATTTTCACTCTTACTGCTCTACTGTGAAACCATATGATCTATTAGAATTTTACCAGTTGAAAGAAGGTAAAGCTAACACTGGCGAGATTCGGCACTAACACCCGTGGCAGCAAATTAGGAACAATGATATGCAGATTTTCCTCTCGATGTAGATTATCCATGCACTAGGAGATAAGGGCTTCCAACACAAAACCAACATTTTTGGATAAAACAGGCAATATTCAAATGGGTATATTTTCAATAGGAGTGTTTCCTGAAGCGTGTGCCCCAGGGACCATCTCCATCAGAATCAGGCAGAGTGCTCAACAAGGCTGCACTCCCTGGCCCACTTCAGACCCTCTGGGGACCCTGGGAATCTATACTGTTAACAAACTCCACTGGGAATACTTAGACACATACTCATAGTAAAGTTTGAAGATCACTATTCCAGGCTATTGGGGATTTCTTTTGACCACAAATATTTCACTCTCTCTTTCATGTTTCTTACTTATTAGCCAGAAGAAAAATTAAAACAAAAACATTTCTGATTATGTCGTTCAGCAGTGCTCATTAGTAGTGGTATCCTTTTCTCCCCTCAAGAAAATATAGGGAAACAGGAAACATGAGCTTCTGCACCTAAGTTTTTCAAAGGTACACCACCAGTACTGCTTTTTTTTTTTAAAGCTTTCAAAATGTATACATAATAAAAACGTTCAAAGTGACCTGTAAACTGTCATCTGATCAAGATTATCCAGTGTAAACAGAACTACTGTTCGGTGTCGTTGCTGAATTCTCACAAAGGCCCCTCGTGGTCTTCCTTCACAAACACCGAGCATCTCAGCAGGCACCCAAGAACTCTCACCAAATGATGCACTGCCTACCGAGCAGCACAAAAGTACCAAAGGATGGCTCATAAAAAAAGGACAAAGAAAGTAAACCCCAGCTTCAACTCCAACCACAAAAGAGTCTCCAGACCTACTGCCAGTACATAAGATGAATACAGATCACGCTGACTCTCCTTAGAGAAAGACTAATTTCAAATATCCTATGAATATCTGCTTGAAATCCAGTTTATATTGAAAACGGAAAGCATAATACACCTCAATGTGCTACCAGGATCTACTACAGTGTTTACGTTCTATAAGATTCCTATAGACAAAAGCAATTTTACCTGTAAATAATATAAATTAGAAACCAAAGAGGTAGGTAACTATTATCCGAAGATGGTCCCAAAACAACATATTGAATAATATGCTTGAATCTCAAAAGAGTTCCTTCACTGGAAAATGAGTTCCAATACCATTACAATTGCCTGAATAGCCGGGTTTCCAGGTCCTTCCAGATGTCACCAACCTTCCAAAACCCCAACTCCTGACACCATGCCATGTGCTCTTCAGACGTTCAATTCTAAGAAATAGCTAATGAAGTAAAATGTCCAGAAGTAATACTGGAAACCAAAGAGTGAACCTGACGTCAGCCTGGCTCTTCAAAAATCTCCAACTCTCACATAGAGAAAAGTACATTAAAGTTGGCTAAGATCTTAAAGATTCATCTAACCCAACTCTGGTTGTACAAGTGAAGAAACAGAGGCTCATTTTTCCCGCTGGTTCACAAAGCACTAAGATTCTGATAGGATGCTATAAATCCAAAGTGTTCATGGTTAACTTACCTATTCCTAAATGGCTATGCAGCCAAGAGGCTACACTTTCAGCCCTCATGGTCTTAGTCTGCAGCCCCGTCCCTGTTGACTGTTTTATAAACTGTATCAGTGGTTACAGAGAGAAGGGGACCAAAGGTTCTGGATACAGCTAGGGGGGCAGATCGTCAGCATGAGAAAAATAATTTGAAATCTCAGACATGTCCTATTAAAACTTGCTCTTCGCTCGGACCAGGGCCCATCTTTGCTTCTTTACAGGAGACACACTTCCGAGCGCATTCACAAACTCCAGCTCTGCTATGGGCAAACACTGGGGCAACAATGCTGTTCTGCCCAGAATATTTAGAAACAGCTGGACAACTGGAAACTTGTGAACCCGCAAGCCCAACACCTACAGACAGCCATACAAAACTTCTCCAGAAGTGTCAGTCACTTGTTTTGCAAGCCAAAAAATCACTTCATTTCCCTATAGCCTTATTTATCTAAGATTTTAAAGTTGTACTATAAAAGGTTGGTTGTGAGTGACTTTTTTTTCTATTTTCCAGACTTTCTGTAATGGTTTCACATTTCTTCTGGTAATAATAATTAAAAAAAAGAAGCTAAGACCCACCCGAGTGGTGCAGTGATTAAGTTCACACATTCTGCTTCGGTGGCCTGGGGTTCATCGGTTCGGATCCCAGGTGCAGGCCTACACATCGCTTGTCAAGCCATGCTGTGGCAGGCGTCCCACATATAAAGTAGAGGAAGATGGGCACGGATGTTAGCTCAGGGCCAGTCTTCCTCAGCAAAAAGAGGAGGATTGGTGGCAGATGTTAGCTCAGGGCTGATCTTCCTCAAAAAAAAAAAAATGAAGCTATTTTTGAAAGGAAGGTTTTAGTCTAAAAAAACTAAAGGATACACAGAGTTTTCTCTTGACTATGAAACATCTAAACCTGAATGAGGTGTCAAGGTGGCACAGTAGAACAGCACAGTCTCAGGACTCAAAAAATCTCAGGACAGATTTTCTTGGATCCCAGCTCTACTCCCAACCTTGAGTAAGATTTCGCTCTCTGAGACTTGCTTTCTTCATCTGTAAAAAGTAAACGATAATACCTACCTCACAGGATGCTGTGAGGATAAAATGATGCACAGTGCTGACACATGGTAGGTGTCCAATGAATGGTACCCTCCTCCCACTGGACTCAGTGAGAATCCTTGAGTCAAAGGAATCCCTAGAGCCCACACCAGCCACCCCTCACTGCATCCCACTTAGACTTGCCAGAGTAATCTGTCTCCTCGACTTTGCCCTATTGCTCTAAAGAATCGCTATTGTGCTTAGAAAAATTTCTACATTTTTATGTTCTCTCCTTTAAAACTGTATATGCAGATAAAGCACTTTTTAAAAACTATCTTCCTAGAAATGATAATGCCATGTTTCCCAAAGCACAACATGTCATGTACAAAAACAATTCTGAAAAACATGACTAAATTCGTTTGTACATTGTTTCTTAAAGTGCACCAAAGAAAATATTAATGACCTTTAAAATGTCACTAACCCTCTTGGGTTTTTCTTTTTTCAATAAAAGTAAATATTTAGCAACTGAGATGTATGTGGTTTTTGGCTCCAATGTAATGGCAAAAAGCAGCAGTGTCTTCCAGAAAAAGAGAACTGATAAACTAAGCATTCCTTAGCAGCATACAAAACACCTACAATTCAACGCAACTGCAGGCTCAGTAAAGCACAATCCTGATTTCTACCTCAAAAACAAAATCAATCAGAGAAACAAAAAACCATCTCCCCATCCTAAAGCGAAGATTTCTCTTGAACCCTGGAGGTAACATTTGTGATCACTTCCCTATTGTGTATCCTTGGTAACAGAATTACAACTAACCACCATTCTTTCTTTACACCACACACACACACCTACACACAAACCCTATAAAAAAACAGTAAAGTACACGTGGAAAAGCCACGTGAAAGAAGACTTCAGTCAAATACAGAACAACCATCACCCCAAATGTCAGGCGGTTCCAACAGTCACACCACAGTCCGATGTTCCCCACACACGTAGACAGCACTGGGGCGGATCCGGCGTCTTGTGTGACCAGGGAGCCGTGGCAAAAACTTGAAGGACTTGGGCATCATGTCCAGGCAGGCGTCGTGGAATTTCTTAATCCTCCAGTAGTAAATCAGTGGGTTCAAGGCAGACTTGAGGTAGCAGAGCCAGAGCAGCCAGGTGCTAATCTCAAAAAAGTTGTGCTTATAGTAAAAGTGTTCACTGAACGTTGCCACAAGGCTGTAAGTGGTGAAGGGGGCCCAGCAGACGATGAAGACAGCAAAGAGAATCAAGATGGTGGTGAAGGCACGCGTTTTAAAGCCCATGTCAATGCTCATCTGGAAGGGTCTCTGAAGACTCATGAGACCCAGTTTGCTGGCCTGGCTGAGGCATATACCCTCAGGGTAGCTATGGATCCTCAAGGCGTTGTGCCGAAGAGTGTTGAGGATGCCCATAAACGAATACAGTATCACCAGGAAGGGTATGAAGAAAGAAATGAGAGAAATCAAAATCACGTAAGCCTGGTAACCCGGATTGGTTGTGTACCCAAACACGCACTGAGGCGCTCTGGAAGGTATCTGCAGGTCAGGGTTTCCTACAGCCAGAGGAAAAGCTATACAAAAGGAAGTCGCCCAGGAAACTGCAATTAGAACCTTAGCCCTATATGGATTTAGCTTATCCTGCCTCTGGACTATAATAAGGAATCTATCAATGCTAATGATGAGCAGGATGGCCACTCCCTCTATCACGAACAACCAGAAAAACATAGCAGATACCCTACAGAAGAATTTCCCGAAAATCCATCTGGTAGTAAGAATAGTTACCAAGGCAAAGGGCATGTTGAGCACTGTAAGCGACATGTCTGCAAACGCCAGGCTGGCCAGGAGGATGTTAATGGCAGATCGCATGGCAGCTTTTTGGTAAACCATGAGGCAAACGACCAAGTTCCCAAGAAAAGACACGAACAGAATAAATATCATAATAGCAGAAAGGATGATCTGGAGAGGCAAGTTTAGGCTCTTAAAAACTGCTGGTGTTGGGGGCACAGCTGTGCTATTCACTGTCAAGGAATTCATCCCAGTGGGAGCCAGGGTTTCGAAACTGTATCTAAGCAGCGGACTGATGTCGGGATGCTGGAATGGTGGAGGGGCTGTAATATTCATGTACATGTTTTCAAAGACTACGAACGTTGTGTTGGTTGCCCCAGTATGGGACGCAGTCAGCACTGCAGAGAAGACCATGGTTTCAGTAGGATGGAAGGCGGCAGCCGACATGTGGGGGTTCTTCAAGAATTTCAACACAGAGCAGCAGTATCATGGTTCATGGATGGGCTTGGACAAAGAGCTCCATCTTCCACAGGAGTCCTTTTGCCTGAAAACAAGCCCAAAACACAAAAAAGAAATGAGAAATGGGCTTTCTAAATCTCATTTGACTTTTTACCTTTCATCATGAAGGATCAGTTTTGCTCTTTTTAACCCTTGAAAAATACTCAAGTCTCTAACCTACTCAGCACTAAAATATTGTTGTTCTGTTATTTTTAGTCAAACACGATAGAAATTTCATGACAGTCATGCATAAAGTGAAAGTGAAAAGCATCAAAATGTATTACTGCCTCAAAGGCAAAAGTTGTAACCTTATTGTTAATTCTTCTTTTAAATTTCCAGTAGCAGCATGGCCTTTCCACAGATACCATTAATATAATTTTATTATCAAGTTCCTCTGAGAATACTAATATTTTTCTTAATAGCTCTTTGGTACAGGCTCCTACTCCATTTTCACATTAGCACAAAACTAGTTGGCAAAGAATCCTGAACTCAATTTCCTCTTTAACACATGATAATGACACACTTTTGCTCTAACCCCTTATAAGCAGGTACCAGGTTATTAGCTATGAAGGTTTGAAACTGTTTCCTAGCTTTCTGTTTGTTCCTGGGTTTCTTCCCAGAAATCCCACCACCAACCATACCGGAGAAGTTATTCAATTGGAGAAGAAAAATTATACTAAAAAGTCTTGGTCATATTTTCAAGATTTCTTTTTTTTCCCCAAAGCTCTCTTTGCTTCTCACATTCTCTCTTCTTTCCCATGCCCACCTGTTTCCATCCCTTATTTTCTGATACATATAATTCTATCTTCTCAACTTCTTCTTCCTAAAACCGACCTTATCATGTGTTAGAAACTTGATAGAATATGTCAGTCAAATAATAAAGATGGAAATTCTAAAGGAGATGACCAGAAAAACATTCAGGTGTGAAGGATCTATTCCAGACAACTTACAAAGATATTTGGTTATCCTGCTCCAAAACGTTTCTTACTATCTAGCTCTTATCCTTACCCCCAACTTCTTACCAATGTCTGCAAACCTAGAGTTTTCTGGAAGGGACTTTCTTAATCTACTATATTACTAACCCACTTTGTGGTGTGGGTTCTTCCTTCTTTACTAGAAGGGTAACCTCTTTAATTAGAAAGAACTCTCTGTGGTCAGCCCTATGACTAAGTTGTTAAGTTCACACACTCACCTGGTTCAGATCCTGGACACAGACTTAGCACCGCTTATCAAGCCATGCTGAGGCAGCATCCCACACAGCACAACTAGAAGGACCTGCAACTAGAATATACAACTGTGTACTGAGGGGCTTTGGGGAGAAGAAGAAGGAAGAAAAAAAGAAAGACGATTTCAACAGACGTTAGCTCAGGGATAACCTAAAAAAAAAAACTTGAAAAAAAATGAGCTACTCCTTAAAAAATAAATAAATAAATAAAGTGCATAATATGATTTAAAAAAAAAACAACCTCTCTTTGGATTTCTAGGTAGGTTCTTTGAATAAATCCCAAAGATTGGGGGGAAAATACATGCACAGAAGTTTAAAACAACACTGTCATCTGCTCATTATTTGGGCTTAGAATTAGTCATTGATTTTAGGGGTAAATGCCAAACATTCATGTATTCATTTCTCAGGGTATAGAGGGTGCAGGCATCCCATTTACAAGACCCGAGATCCAGCACTGTAGCCAAATCACAGGCTCTCTACCATACCTGTACCTCGCTACAGTCCCCTCTTTGTTCTCCAGGGCTGCCCTTCCGAATAAGGAGAATACTAATCTGTTTGTTCAAAATATTAATTTTACTGTTTACTCTCATTTTAATAGCTTAATTTCTTTGTCCCTACTAGATTTTATCCATTTTCACATATTCACTTTGAAATGTAAAACATACCGGGATAAGATGCCACACTAAGACTATGACTCTCCAACTTTATCAACCACAAAAGGCCAATGAGCAGGGGCAGTGGTAGCTGGAAAGCTTTATACCACAATCACCAAAAGTCTCTTTAAAACTACTTAAATATACACCAAATAAGAATAAAGACTGTGCTTGCGACATAATCAGCCTCAATACATCTCTAGAGAAAAATTATAAATAGGCAAATGTGCAGCTTAAGCCTAATATAACACCTATAATTGTGTTCGACCAAATAAACAAACATATCCATCCTGAAGTGTAAACACTGGATTGTTTTTTTATTGAAGTATAACTGACATATAACGTTAATTTAGTTTCAGGTGCACAACATAATGATTCGATATTTGTATACATTGTGAAATGATCACCACAATAAGTCTAGTTAATATCTGTCACCAAACATAGTTACAAAAGATTTTTTCTCTTGTGATGAGAACTTTTAAGATCTATGCTGGGCATGCCACTAAGATATACAACTATATGCTGGGGGGATTTGGAGAGATAAAGCAGAAAAAAAAAAAGATTGGCAACAGTTGTTAGCTCAGGTGCCAATCTTTAAAAAAAAAAACCTACGCTGTTATCAATGTCAAAATATGCAATATAGTATTACTAATTATAGTCACCATGCTGTACATTACATCCCCATGACTAATTTATTTTATAACTGAAAGTTTGTACCATTTGAACCCCTTCACCCATGTTGCCCATCCTCATCCCCTGCCTCTGGAAATTACCAATCTGTTCTCCGTTTCTATGAGCCTGGGGTTTGTTTTGGTGGTGGTGCTGTTTTTTAGATTCTACATATAAGTAAGATCATACAGTATTTGTCTTTCTCTATCTGACTTATTTCACTTAGCATAATGCCCTCAAGGTCCATCTATGTTCTCACAAATGGCAAGAATTCATTCTTTTTTATGGCTGAATAATTTTCCATTCCATTCCATTCCACAATTTCTTTATCCAATCATCCATTGATGGCCACTTAGGTTGACTATTGTAAATAACGCTGCAATGAACATGGAGGTGTATATATCTTTTTGAGTTAGTGTTTTTGTTTTCTTCGGATAGATGGCCAAAAGTGCAATAGTTGGATCATATGGTAGTTCTATTTTTTTTGTTTTTTTTTAAAGATTGGCACCTGAGCTAACAACCATTGCCAATCATTTTTTTTTTTTTTCCTGCTTTATCTCCCCAAACCCCCTCTGTACACAGCTGTATATCTTAGTTGCACGTCCTTCTAGTTGTGGGATGTGGGATGCCACCTCAACGTGGCCTGACGAGCAGTGCCATGTCCATGCTCAGGATCCCAACCCTGGGCTGCCGCAGCGGAGCGCGTGAACTTAACCACCCGGCCACGGAGCCGGCCCAGGTGGTTCTATTTTTAATTTACTTTCCTACCAACACTGCACAAGGGTTTCCTTTTCTCCACATCTTCATCAACACTTGTTATTTCTTGTCTTTTTGATAACAGCCATTCCAACAGGTGTGATGTGATATCTCAGTGTGGTTTTGATTTGCATTTCCCTGATGATTAGTGATGCTGAGCATCTTTTCATGTCCATCTGTGTGTCTTCTTTGGAAAAATGTCTATTCAGATCTTCTGCTCATTTTTTAATTGGATTGTTTGGTTTCTGGCAATTGAATTGTTTGAATTCTTTATAAATTTTGTATAGTAACCCCTTATTATAGATACGATTTGCAAATATTTTCTCCCATTCAGTAGGCTGCCTTTTCATTGTGTTGATGGACACACTTTAAAACACTTAGTTTCTGTGACCACGTTGAAGAACAAAAACAAAAAATGGAATGGAGTCAAAGCAAAACCACAATTTAAAAGATGCTTTTTAGGTTGTTACATATACATACAGTCATAATATTTTTCTGCCATCAAAGCCTCCTACTACTATAAAACTTCTAACTCAATTCATTCAATTATTCATTCATCAAATATTTATGTAAGAACTTCGTATGTGCCAGGCACTAGAGACACAGCAATGAACAAACGCTTCCTGGATTTCTGGTTATACAGGGTAGACTGACCATAGACCCTGCATCGCAAAATCACACTGAAACGACAGTAAAGGGATTTTTAAAACAAAATGTGCAACCCAAAAGGACAAGAGGTATGAAGGAAAAGCCCAACAATAGATGGGGAATTTTTTTTTAAATGTTTTAAGGCAAAAAGCAGATGGTGGTATGGTAACTGAGTTAACATCACAGAACAGAGAACTCTTTATCCTCAAAACTTCCAGGAAAATATGCTGAGAAGGAGCTAACACACCCTGTAGATCCTCAGAGAAGATCTGGATTGGGAGGTGCCAGTTACCACAGAAAGTGTGGGTGGAGCTGGAAACTGGAAAATTAACTGAAAACCTATATACAGAGCCACTGGAACCCCACTCCATGCCCGGTCTCCTCTCCTCTGAGCAACCACGTGAAAGCACACACCCCCATTCCAGTAGCCCAGGTCTGTGGGACAACTTAACCTGAAATCACCAGCCTTGAGAATATTAGTGCCGAGCTGAGAACAGGGAGACTGAGTGACCGTCTGCACATTCAACAGGAGAAACTAAGCCCCCTTCTCCACCCTCTTAAGAGTGCCAGCAGCCAGGCATATGCCAGCCATGCAGGACGAAGGGCTCATCTTTTCCAGTAACCAAAAAGCCCTAGAGGAAAAAATTCTAGATACTAACATTTGATGACACCCAGTCACCCTGTACACTGAAGCCCCCATAAAGCCCAATCCATCCACACAGCTTCTATCAGCTTTTCAGCGCCTGGGAAACACACATGGTCAATTTCCCTAACATAGAAAGTCTACAAAGGGATTAAACAAAAGCAATTTTGTAGTTAAACATTAAGGAAAAGAACTGGAATTTATAATATCAGGGAACATGCCATGCATGGACTTAATAATTAATGCCTTTGCCCTGGTATCTGTGCAGTGCTCTTCATTCATTACACTGCTGGCTCACCAGAATGTAAATATTTTCCGGCCTTCTTCCTTTCTTACTGAGAAGCATAATAACCAAAGCGGTGTTTTTGAATGCTCACAGTAACTATGTTAAAAGATTCTTTCCTCTCAGGACTTCTACTCAAACACCACTGTGACATGAAGTTTCTTCTGAA